ACAGAAATGTGTAAGCTTTGGGAGAATTTTTGACTGGGAATGCTTTTCTTTTTTTCTTTTCTTTTCTTTTCTTTCTTTTTTTTTTTTTTTTTTTTTTTTTTTCCCTAATTGTTTGAGATGGAGTCTCGCTCTGTTGGCCAGGCTGGAGTACAGTGGCACGATTTTGGCTCATTGTAACTTCTTCCTTCCAGGTTCAAGTGATTCTCCTGCCTCAGCCTCTCAAGTAGCTGAGATTACAGGCTTGTACCACCAGCTGGTTTTTGTATTTTTAGTAGAGATGGTTTTTCACCATGTTGGTCAGGCTAGTCTTGAACTCCTGGCCTTAAGTGATCTGCTTGCCTGGACCTCCAAAAGTGCTGGGATTACAGGTGTGAGCCACCGTGCCCGACCTGCTTTTATTGTTAAAGTTGTGCTTACTTGCTTAAGAACCTCAAAACCTAGGGACCTCTATACTTGGAAGGGCAAAGGAACATGTATTTTTACATTACTAAAGAATAATTAGCATTTTAAAAGTTTATCTATGAAATTTTAAATGATTTTTTACCCATGTATTTAAAATATTTTCAAAATCATTTTTATTTTTTTACATTTTTATATTTTGCCATGGATTGCTGTCTGTGATGTGTTATATGCAGTGTTTAAAAACTGCTCTCTTCACTAAAATCCTTTCAGAGAGATCTATGGAAGGATGTTTACTTAGCTTAATCAAATATAAATAATATAATGAAAACTCTGCTACTTTGATCTACTGTATGTAATAAGACTACATTCAAAAATTGTTAAGAGTTATATACATTTTTAGAAGGAGAAAGTGCACTTTGCTTCAATTTTTTTCATCAGCACTAGAATGGGAGGAATATAAAGAGCTTTGTTCATTTAGAAAAACAAAAATAGTAGAGCCCCATTTTTCACCTGTAAAATATTATTCACTCCCTAACTCCTCTGACCCTGTTTGCTGCTCTTAATATTGCTTTGCTTGTCAGCTATTTCTCACTAAATTTCTACGCCAGCTGGCATTAAACATCCTGAATATCACACCATTTATTCTCTCTGTGTGCTCTACTTTTCAGTAGGGATACATCTACCATTGCATTTGATTTCCTAGTAAGTGACCAAGGAGTTAGTTCTGATTCTCTGCTGTTCTCAACTTTCTGATCATACCCAACTCTAAAACCTTTATCACTCTTTGGCTTACAGTGCATAAGTTCATCTGTTTCTGTTGTTCCAGTGGTCAATTTCTTTGTTTGTCTCTTTGTTTCAAGTCTCATCTACTTTGAGCCTATAGAGAGACAAATAATCTCCAAGCCCAGTTCTGCCCCATATGTAAATGAGATTAATAACATTGAATTAATTATTCAATCTTTTCTTTTTTTTTGAGACGGCTTCTCACTCTGTTGCCAGGTGCCAGGCTGAAGTGCAGTGGCATGATCTCGGCTCGCTGCAACCTCTGCCTCCCGGATTCAAGCAATTCTCCTGCCTCTGCCTCCCAAGTAGCTGGGACTACAGGCACACGCCACCACACCCAGCTAATTTTTGTATTTTTAGGTAGAAATGGGGTTTCACCATGTTGGCCAGGATGGTCTCAATCTGTTGCCCTCATGATCTGCCCACCTCGGCCTCCCAAAGTGCTGGTATTACAGGCGTGAGCCACCGTGCCCGGCCATCAACCTTTTAAATACAATATCTATAAAATGAAACTTTATAGAATGAAAACCTGCACTATCAATTCCCTGTCCAGTTACTCTGCCCATGTTGACTACCAGGTATCTGTTCTTACTCAGTTTGTCCATTCCAACACTGATACATCAAAATGATCCAAATACAGTCTACATTCTTAAATAATTGTATATGGCTTATACACAGAATTTATGGTTTATCTGTATCCCAAACATCAGCATCACGCAATATACCCATGAAACAATCCTACACATGTACCTCCTGAATCCAAAATAAAAAAAAGGGAGAAGACACAATTAATACTGAAGTTGGTCATGTCTCTTGGTGAGACTACCACTGCTGAATCTGGTCCATGTTGAGCTTGAGCTTCCTCTTCTCTAAACTAGTTATTTAATTACAAAAAACACATGTTGGCCTATATATATATACACACACACATATACATATATATACACATACATATATATACACACATATATAGAGAGACACATACACACACACACACACACATATATGTGATCTAATTCTGTACTTTACATGTTTGTATCTTTTCTCTCAAAATAAACAGAATAACAATGAAAAAGCTTTAAAATATAAATTATACTCTGAATGCATTTAATGTACTCCCGCCAACCCTCCCTTTAAGGCCCTAAATAACAGACAGTCTCTAGTAGATCAAGCCAGAAAAAGATGCCAACTCTCCAAACTCTTGGTCCAAAGTAGATTTTATGAAGATTTTATTGTTGGTTCTTGATTTAGCATTAAAATTTGTAAATTTGCAAAAAAGTGGTAGACACAGGAGAATATGTTACATAAATTGTGATTGAAAGAATAGTGGCAATCAAGGGTCTGGTTTTATTCTTGTCTCATACATTGTACAATGATAAAATGTTCTTCAAAATGAAAAATTTGTGTAAGTCATTTCTGGTATGCATTCATTGTAAAATTATGATCAAGCATATTAAAGAAAGAATTAAAAGATGCAGATCTAAGGCTTTGCTTTCTCATTTAATAGAAGTAGCTGTTTCAAGAATCAGATTTTTTAGCTTCCTTTTGCCTTTATGTATGATACCTTGACATTTAAAGTAATAGTACTCGTTGTTGACTTAATTGTAAACATAAACACAAACTTGGGCACTCACATCATGCAACTGTTCTTTCTGGTCAGTCAGGAGATGCAGAACACACCTGTGTTACTTTTTAAAAGTTATCAAAAGAACATAAATTTTGTATACATATGTGTATATCATAGTTGTATTTTTTTTTTCTCAGAGACCTCATAGCTCTCTGAGAATACATCCACACACAACATTTAATACACAGTGACAGACAGCAATTCTGTTTTAAAAGTCCAAAGAGCAGAGCCACTTAAATTGTTTTTGTTTGTTATTCTCCAATAAAATAAATATAGAAATTGAGAATATTTAGTAAATTTTATAGCAATTCAATAATATTTGTTGAATGAAAACAAATTTAAAACTCTTGACTTATATTTTTATATACCTTTGTTTTGTAAACATTGTTATTTACGATTATTGGTTTTTATGTTATTTTATGAAAATATTGGTCCTTGAGAGGTCGAAAATTAAAGAAAAATAATTTTTTTTAAATAAAACAACTGGTCTTTCACCTCGGGGGGAAAAAAGAATTTTATAGTTTAACAATATTATTTACTAATTTGTTTGATACGATAGGCCTTATAATTATTATCCCCATTTTACAGCTGGAGAAAATGAAATTCAGAGACTAAGTGACATTATAAAGTCTTGCAGATGGAAAAGCATTCAGAAGTTGTAAATATGTTTATAGATTTTGAAATTAAAAACGTCTTCATAATCATCTGCTTTTAAAAGTAAATACAGATTTAAAATTGAACAGTATTGTTAATTTCCTGTACTTCAAATAAAATTAAATTGTGGCAGATGCATATACCCTTTTGATTATTGAAAGCATTCATTTGATTGCATTATTTTACAGCTGAAACCTATTGTAGTGCTTTGATTTTCTGATGTAGGAAATGTAAGTATAGAAGGAGTTCAGATTTGTTGTTAGGTTTTACAAACACTGGTTCTAAAATGTATCTGCTATATTTTTATGTAGGCTGGATCAATATTAAGATAGTTTCTTTCTACCACTTGCTATCACTTGGAGAAATGCTCATCAAATATGTCCTAAATCATATTTCATGTGCTGCTTTTGGTATTATATTTGTATGTAGATTATATATTATATTGTATATATTGTAAGATTATATTACGTTATATTCTGTACTGAAATGTAGAATTTGTTGTGAGATCTGACAACTCAGACAGCATCTAAATTTGTAAAGAATTGTTCAAGACTATTGTAATACTAAAATTTATCACTAAACATATTTAAACAAAGTCTATATTTTTTAGTTGAAGAGGCTTTAAAAATATATTTTTCTTATTACAAGACAAGTACATATTTACTATAGAATATGGAAAAGATGTTGCAATGCTAAAAAAAGAAACTAAAATTACCTGTAGTTCCTTCACTCAGATAAAGGCACCATTAAATTTTGATCTTATTCACCATTGTTTTCTTCAGCATATCAAGAAGTTCTTTGCCCATAACAAGTCTTAATAAATATTAGAGAATAAATAAATGAATGAGTTAGTGAACAAGAAATGGATATATACTCATATGACTTTTTTTAAAACAAAAATTAGATTATAAGTATTGCTTTTTAACTTGCCCTTTTTTTCACATAACAAAATATCCCTAGAAATTACATGTATTCAGTATTTTCCTACAATAGCATTTTAATAGCTGCATCATATTCAAGTCTATGAAAACAGATTACTAACATTTGTTGAATTAGAATAACATATCTGCCATTGATACTGCCCTGTTTTGAATTTCTACTGGATCCCGAAATATCTAAAATGCTTTGCAATTGGAGGCAATATACCTCTTCTTGTCCCACTTGGGCAGTTACTTACTATTTCCCAGCAGTGACACCAAACTCTCTCCCTGTGTGGGCCGCTCTGTTTACAACACACTCTTCCTTCTGCCTAGAATGCTCATTCCATATCTCTTTCCTGAGAGCACACATGCAGCCTTCCAAATTCAAAGCAAAGATTTTACTTCTGGATCCTTTATCACAGTGACCTTAGGTATTACCGTAAATCACATAGAACAAGCCATCTAGTAGAGCTGGAGAAAACTGAAGTTTTATATCAATTCAGAAAGACAAAAAGGAGCATTTGACAGTCAAATCCCTAGGCAACATTATTTCTGTGTTGTCCTGTTAATAAGAAAAAGCCATCTAAGATGGCATATTCTTTTCTCCTCTTCAGGAAACAGTGGCATTTAATTCTTCTCTTCTGAGGCCCCGTGTGATTGGAGAATGGATTGGTAGAGAAGAAAATGATGCGGATCCCCTAGCTGCTGAAATGCTACAGCCTCCAATTCCAAGAAGCAAAAATGACCAATGGGAAAGTGAAGATAGTGGCTCTAGCCCAGCAGGAAGGTGAGATGAGCTGTCTGCTAAGATGCTATATTACTAGTCATTAAAAGATACAAGGAAAAAAAAAACCAAATTCATGGTTTTTATGAAATCCCTTCTAGCAATTTTTTTAAATAGAAAATTATGTGAGTCTCTACATAGGATAAAAACATCAATTGCTGTCTTTTAAAATGAGAGCTTCAGACCTGCTTTGGGTTTTCGGTGTTGATGTTTTTTTTCCTTCAAATCTAGATCACCATATCTTTGCTACTAAAACCAAATAGAGAAATAATTTCAAGGATACACTGCCAGCCAAGACCTACTATAATATTGAACAGAGAGTGGCTGGCTGTTAAGAATTGGAAAGGAGGGAATTCTGATGTACCAGAAAGATATCATTAATCATCAGGGATAGTAAAAGTATTAAATGCATAATAGACCTTAGGAGGCAAAGTTAATGTTGACCGTAAAGAGAGAGAAACCTCAGTTAGAACCATTTAAATGTAGAGTTGGTAACTCTGATTGAATGTATTTATTAACATTTTCTTTTTATAATTTTTGAAACTGCTATCATTTGTCAATGTGAAAGTCCAAACTTTTATTTTACTCAGATCCCTGATGCTCAAAATGGTGGCGAGAGGTTTACCCTAAGTTCCCATGTGCTGCTAGTAGTGAATGAATGTTGAAATGTCCAGATCTTATTTATTAGAAAAGCTATTGTCAGACTAATACTTTTTTGTAATACCAACTGCAATAAGTGAAACTCAAAACAAAAATGAAAACTTCTGCAAAGTGTCTGGGATCTGGGGTGAAAAATATCATGGGAGGCATGGCTTAGACAAGTGTGAAAACAAATACTCATGAATGGAAATGTGTCAGGAGCTTAAACTTTCTGTGAGTGTTACCAGCTGACCATCACAAAAGAGTCTTTCCTATGCATAGCGTAGCCACAGTAACTTGGTATTTTCTATGTCAAATTTAGAAGCAACCAATAACTATTCTTTCTCAAGGAGAAAATTGTATTTTCTACAATGTAATAGCTTTCAGGGGTTCTTTGCAGTGACTTATCACTTGGCTGGAGGGAAGGAAATTCAGAATACTCATTAATGTGCTTCAGGCCTATAGAAAATTGATTCTATTTCCATGAGAAATAACTTTTAAATTATTTAAATAGTTGAAGTGTACTATATGAGGAGAAGAAAACCATTTATAAAGATCCATTTACCTTCTTTGTGAAATGCCAGATCAATTTTATCTGTCAACGAGGGTAATTTCTTTTTATTACCAGGCTTATAAAACTTACTGGACCTTTATCTTTATTCACCAGTAGATCTTCAATTCTTAAGTGTAAAATAGAGAAATGTCAACTTTCATTTTACTTTCATAATAATAATCAGAACTATTTATTGCAAATGGTAGTACTTCTATTTTCTTCCTAGCTTCAGTGAGCTCTTATTCCCACTTGACTACTCAGCAAGGGAGAACCTTTTCTCTAATCCTACTTGAATCCCTTACCTGGAAAACTCAGTCCAGGAACGTGTCTCTCAAATATTTGTTTTAATTTTATTCAGCTTTTCCCCCCTCTATCTTTAAATTACAAATTGAGGTATTATACTATGACAGGAAAGAGCTGGTGAAATTCTGCCCAGGTGCCCCATTAGAGTAGAAAGAATACATGCATATCTGAATTAAATTTCAAGAACAGCAATAAACGATGGACTAGAAACTATATTTTCTCCATCTTCTAATACAAAACAGGATTTATGAATTTACACCAGCATTAGATTTGATTTGGATGAAGCAGAAAGAGTTGGAGAAAATCTTTTCAATGGCTTCAGAGTCTGTAACTATAGTGTTAGCTTTTACCCTTAAATAGGAATGAATGTGTACTATACTTTAATGACTGACTGACATTAGTCAGTGGGGTGTTATGGCTCAAGAGGAGGCATTCACATATCCAGGATGCATCCCTTGTATTCTTTGAACACATAATAATATGAATTACTGCATATCTTAATCCATTTCATCCTTATGAAAAACATTATTTTTGAAAAATGAAAAAACTAAGTCCCAAAGTGGCTACATCCCCATCCCAAAATTGGGTAGCCATTAGGTCACTGAGCTAGGGTGACTTGCTTCAAATTCTGTGCATTTAAATGCTTTGCCCTACAGCCTCTCTTCAGAAAGCTGTTTTAAGAATGCTGTTATCCTTAAGCTGTAGGTTCAGATCTGGGAAAAGGGGGCCTCAGAACCCTCAGTGCTCTTAGATAAAACTCCCTTGTTCTGATCTCTCTCAACACTGTCTGCATGAACACCCCTGCCTCCCTGCCTCAGGCTGGTATTTTTTCTTACTGGTTGTAGGATTCGCAAGCTGTGGGGCTGGAGTAGAGGGTGGTGTCGTTCTTCATCCTTTGCTGCTTCCAGATCTTGCTCTCTCCTCCCTAAAACAATCTCCAGTTCTGCATCTTGTTCTGAATTTCCCAGTGTGTTAATTTCCCACATCTTCTTCTAGCAATAATTTGCTTACTGCCAGCCATTCCCCTTTCTCTGAATATACAAATATCCAGCTCCTGTCACTCTTCCCCAGTAGCCCTGCTGTATTGGTGAAACCAGCTTCATCGTCTTTGGTGATCCTTCCCCAAACCTGGCCTCTCACTTTCTTTGCCTACTCTTTGCCATATATCTTGAATTCCACCCTACCTCCCCCATCACTCCCTCTGTCATATCCTAGACCTTCTCATTCTCATTATCTGCAAATCCATGATGTCAATTTCAGGCATCTCACTCTCTGACTACCACCTCTCATCTTTCTTTCTAGTTCATTGCCTCTGACGCTCAGCTTTAACTGAGACCCCCAAAACACTGATACTGCCAAAGCTTAATTTTTTTCTCACCCACCTATTTCTTTATTTTTTTTTCCTTATTCAGGTTTATCTATGCGCCGTCATGGTAATCAGTCTCTTGGGTATGCCCTCAACTCTTCTGCTACTCTTTTCCTGTTTTACTCTCCTGACAAAACTCTACCATGCTTAAATCTAATTCTTTGCCTATTCTGTGGCTAAACCAACCTGGGCTAGAGAAGGACACATGGCCACATTGGCCAGCATCATTGAATTCACAACTGCTGAACTTCAGGGACACACTGGTACTACCGGGTGATGCAGCTGCACCTGCCTCCGCCGTTCACATGCCCATTCTCCTCAATGACGTCACGTTTTTCCTGCTCTTCTCCAATCTCCACCCTTTCCCCCGACATTCTTATTCTTAACCAATGACTCTTTTTCCTGTTTCAAAGACAAAATAGCTGCGCTCATGAAGAACACCTCCATAAGCTTCCTCCAGTAGACTTTCTGTGCACCTTGCTTATTTGTGCCTAGGTTTTCTGATCTTCCCCATTGGCTATGGGTGAGCCATTCATGCTCCCGCCCAGTGCAAGTTCCTCCACTCAGTGCTAGATCCTTACTCTCACTCACCCATGTAAGCTCATCACTTATCTTCATTCCCAGCACCATTCCTTTCTCCCAGATCATTCCCATCAGCATGAAAGTGTGATGGGACTTCTCTCTAAAAAATAAAGTCTCCCTGGCCCCAGCTATTAATTAATGGTTCTCTTTCATTCACTTTACAAAGAAACTTCTCACAGTAGTTTTCTTGTGTGCACTGACCCCTCATTTTGCAGTCTTTTCCAAACAGAATGTTATTTCCACCACCTACTGAGAAAGCAACCTTGTCCATGTCACAGGACAACCTCTTGTCCAGGTTGCCCAGTGTCGTTCAAATGACCTCTGCCTTCTGTAATTCCAACCTCAAGTCTCAGCCCCCATCTTACTTTACCTAACAGTAGTCTTTGAGTTTTCATGTCTCATTTATTCAAATATTTTCCTTACAATCCTTATCTGTAATTGTGAAATTCAAAATGCTCTGAGAACCAAAGTTGTTTTCATAATTCATTATAGCAAAACCTGATCTGAACCCTGCAGATTCTTTATTTATCCCACTCAGTGGGAAAGCTGATACACAATGATGTAGAAATACTGATGTATTTGATAACAGGGTGAGGCCACAGACCCTTCTGAAAATATTATATAATATAGAGTTTATGCAGCAGGACACATCCAGCCCCAAGGATTCTAGAAAAACACTTATAGTCCTGGAATAAAATTCTGTTTATATTTGGACAGATATACTCTTTTTCTATAAATAGGCATGTTTTTGAAGATATGTTGGCCTTTTAGAAATAATTATGTTTTATAAATAAACATTTGATTATGATTATTAATACAAAATAACATTTCAAGATGTATATATTACTTTTGCACAAAATACTATTGAACCATCCTATATATATATATTTAGGTACATAATAGGCAGAAGCAGTTGTCACAATGTACATATAACATCTGCTTCAAACAGTTATACTTTGTGAATTATTATTTAACTCCTAAGGGGGAAAATTGCCTTAAAGCTGCAACTGTCTTTTTATATGAAAATATAAAATATATTTGGTAAGCATAGAATATTATAAAGTATAATATTCTATTACCTTTTGTTAAATTCACAATATAAAATTTAATGTTATGATGGGAAATTTAATTGATTTATTAAACAGTCATAAATAGAGCTATTTGCCAGGTACTGTTCTACGTTTATTAACCCTTTTTAATAGTCCAACCACCATATATTAGAAGTACTAATATAATCTGCATTATGGATAAAGAAACTGAGGAAAAGAAAGGAGAAATGACTTGTCCCAAATTATTCATCTTATAGATGAACTATCATTCAAAGCAATATCTATATCCTTTCTAGTAATCTAAAGCTACTGGGGCTAAAATAATACATGAATATTGTTATTTTAAAAGAATTTTAAATTAAATAAAATAATTTAGATGTTAATTCCAGCTTAACATGTTAAATTCATCAGCTAAGAAATCCAAATTAATTTTTTTTTTATTGCTTTTGTTTATTTCTCAATGAAAAAAGCTGGTCAAGAAAGAATTTCACATTGTTGTATTGTCTCTTAGTTTAAAAGACATGTAATGCAATGCAATGATGCAAAGGACAAATGCCACGGCAAGAGACTGGCACTAAATAAAATTATCCTATCCATTTTCAAGTGAATATTTATATTATATATCCACTATTAAAGAGTAAAAATAATTTTATCTGGTCATTTGGAATTATATCAAGGGTTACTCAAATTTAAAAATTACCTAAAAAGGGATGCATTTTTTTCAACATCTTAGCAACAGTCCTGTTTATGTTGGAAAACTAAGCTGGGATAGATGATAGAGTTAAGATAAATATTGTTAACATGTGTATGCTTTTATATATTTGTTCTTATTTTTTCCCTCAACTTTTTACTGTTAAAAGTTTAAAACCACAGAAAATTTAAAAGTAGTAATATCGAGATCCACATTCCCTCCACCTATATTCACCAATGAACATATTACCATCTTTATTTTATCTATGACCTATTATCTATATATCTATCATATATCATTTTCTATTTTTTTGCTGAACCATCTGAAAATATACATTTTATAAAATGTTAATTCTGTTATTCTTCAAGATGTATTTTTTAAGAATATATTTTCTTATGTACCCATAATATAATCGTATCAAATTATTTGACAATTCGACCATGAAGTTATTTAATATAGAGTCCATTTTCAAATTTCTTCAGTTTTTCCAGTAAAGTCTTTTATGGATTTTTGGTCTATTTGTTTATTTCTTTTTTATCTAGCGTATAATAAAGGATCATGTGTGGAATCTAGCTGTCAAGTCTTTCGAGTCTTCTGTAATCTACAACAGTCCTCTGCATTTTGTTTCTTTTTTATGGCATTTACATTCCTGAAGACTATGGCCCACTTATCTGGAAAATTTTCCCCAAATCTGCATTTGTCAGATTGTTCTCTGATTAAATTCATATTAAACATTTTTGGAAAAATTTCTACATAGTTGATGGGATGTACTTTCCTATTGTATTGTATTAGGAAATAGATAATGTCAATTCGTCCAGTATTATTGGTGAGGCTGTTTGATCACTTGATTAAGGTGATGGTCACCAGATGTTTCCAGTGTAAAGATATCCATTGCCTTTTCTAATTAACAAGTCACGTGTCACTTCTGTTTGGACAAGATGACACAGAGTGATTACATTTTGCTGTCCTTCACTACATACCCCTATAAGCCCTGAAATAAAGCAAGAGGCACCAAAAGAGAACCATGGCAAGGGTAAAGAGGAAGGTGGAATGGTTAGGAACCTGAGAGCTGGAGGAACAGCATAGCAGCAGGGGCACCTTGTAATTCTCCCCTGAACAGAATAACTGGCATTCCCTGCTTCCCGACTAGCAAGAAAAGGTGGCCCATGTAGGTTTTCTTCCCCTGATTGAACGGTAGCCACACCAGCAAAACTGGGAGAAGCCAGAGACACAGGCCAGAAGAATTGACTATTCTCACTGATAATAAAAGTTAGGGGACATGCTTTCCTTCCCTGCCACACTTGAGACTGCTTTTCCCCACTAAAGTGGGAGGAGAGCTGAGTAGCAACAGTGATTCTAACTCAGTGGCAAGAAAGAATCTACCTCAAAACATCAGGAAGGTAGAAAGAAAAACAGAAAGAGCAGAAATACGAGTATATACAACAGACTATCTTCACGAGTTTTAGAAATGATATTTATTGAAATAAAAATTATAACATCATCTGATACTCAATAATATTAAAAAGTAGGGAAACTAAAGGGTCCAAAATGGAAGGAAGGTATCCATATTTCACTCCAAGTGGTAAATGTTGATACTAATACAATAGTCTACTGAATACACACACACACACACACACACACACACAGAGTAACAGGAAGAACAGTCACTAGTAAAACTATACAAAGAGATAGACTCAAAAGCATTATAAATAAAAGCAAGATAATTCAATGAAAACGAGAATTGTCTTTTTAACAAATGATGTTTAAACAACTATACACACATATGCAAAAAAATTAAAGTCGAGTATTTTAAAACATCTTAATATAATATTTTAAAACATTTATCCATTGAGTGTGTTTTCTTAACATGCACTTGCTTTGCTAAATCAAGGACTAACAATCTGGACTTTCTAGCTTATCTTTAAAAATGAGAAAATCATCAAGTAGACTTTAATTTCCATATGGCAACAATAGGTAGGAGTAAATTAACACCTTCCCTCTTAAATGAGCCAGATTTCAGGTTCCCCATTCTCACCTGGGAATTCCAGATTTCAGGTTCCCCATTCTCACCTGGGAATTCCTTAGCAAGGTACAAATGGGTGTCCAAGAAAGACACTATTTCCATTATCCTTGGGGAAAACTTTAGTAATGTGTCCATGTATTTGCATGATAACTGAATGGAAGTTTATTTGTAGATTTTCTTTACTTAACACAGCAAATTAACATTTCAATATTTCTTCAGCTTAAAGGTGGAGCCTAAGACTAAAGGATTAAAACAGCAGCAACAGCAACATAAGAAACTCCTGGCCGCGATGCTCTCTCAAGATTCGTTTGAGTCCATCCACAGCCCTACCCCATCCGTAACAGAAGAAGACATTGATAATGAAGATGATGCAATGGAATTGCTGGGTAATTTTAAAAATTAATAATTTCTCATTTTCTTTTCTGGCATTGTAAAAAATGTGTAGTGATTAAGAGATTTTACAAGTTTTGAGTAGCCTTGTCTAGGGAAAAGAAACCATTTAGTATGTCTTTTATTTACATTACACCCATAAAGTTGCATGTAAGAACTAAATTGAAATAACCTAAGCATGTGAATATTTATTAGACTGTATTTTGTGCTTTGTGTATGCTGCACTTTACCTTCTGATTACGTAATCAAGCTCTATTCTGTGTGCAACTGTGATCAAAATTTAAGTCTGTCTGCTTTATTCTCTGGTAATAATTGCCTTGTTTATATCTATTGTCTATAAAATATAACCAAAGTACATATTTAAACCCCACCCCAAAATGTTCCCCTGTTATTTTGAGGATGCTTTAGAAAAATGGAATACAGTTTAAAGAGGCAGATAGTAAATTCATATTTTATGTTTTCCATAAATTACAGGAAAGTTTGCAGAGATTTCAGACTTTCTTCAGGTCTGTTACTTTCATGAAAACCTTATTAATCTTACATATGTAGGATATATTTTTATATTTTTTAATATAGTATATGTTTTTGCTTCATCAGAAATCTCTTCATATAAATTTTTAAACTGAACTTCTCCTTGGAACATCATTTTTCTGAAGGAAGAAGATAAAATGTTATTTCAGAGTGATTCACATATAAAACAATGAGTTTTTAAATCAATGGTTTCAATTATTCTGTGAAAAATAAAGAGTTTAATTTTCAAATACTTTGTAACAATATGATATTGTATTTTATTTACAAAGAGAACAAATACTATAATTATTTGAAAGCCTTAAACATGTTTTACATATAGAATGGAATCTCAGAAAATACAGCTATTTTCTAAAGTCTTTTTTTAAAAAAAATGAGATTCCTTGGTTTTAAGTGTTTATGGCAGTAAAATACTATCATTATAAAAAATGATATATTGTCCTCATGCATAGGCCTACAAAGGTGTCAATGGTGACAGGTTTGAAAGATGTTTTTTGATGCTGTAAAAACTGCATTCATACTAGCATTAAGGAGACTATGACATGGCATTTTCAATACATGCTGTTGGTCTCTCCAGTTGGGTCTTATCCTCACCTCCAGATCATTAACGTGGCAGACATGCCATATGTGGCAGTGGTAGCTTCACTCAACAAACATTTACTAAGTACTTACTATATGCTAGGTACTTGGCTTGGGCCTGGGAACATAAAAATAAAATCGTCATGATCTGTGTTTGAAGGAATTTTACATTGTGATGTTCCAGATACAAATGTAAATTCATCATTCTAATAGTGTTTGCTACCTGCACTAATTGGATGAAGCACAAAGTTGTATATAGGGGTAACACCTAAAGTAGAAGAGGTGAGGGACAGTGATCAAGGAATGTTTCCTAGAGAAGCTGATTCCTCTGGTTAGTCCTGAAGAGCAAGTAGATGTAAGCTCAGCAGTCAGGGTGTGGTCATTGTAGGTTTGCTCATGTAGGTATGGTCTCTTTTGTGGTTGTGCTCCATAACTATACCTGTAAATGGTTCCTCTGCTTTGGTCAGTAACAGGGAAGAGGCAAGTGAGATCCAGGGTTTCTTTCCAGAGATGCAGGTGTCCATACCAAGCCAGTACTCCCTAGATTTCAGCTGCCCTGCCTGAAGGTTTTAGTCTCCCAAGAAGCTGAATACCAAGAATTGAGTCTTGGAGACTACCTAATGATGAGCAAGTAATAACTAGTCCTCATTGATTCTTTAGACATTTCAGCCTGTGGTCTGAGCAAGTTTAATAGTAAGAGATATTTGAAGGTTTGGACTTTCTCCATGTAATTCCACATATCTCAGCACAGGTAGCACGCAGTGTAGTAATGTCGGTCTCTAGGTCATGAGATTATCCTGTGATAGCTTGGAATGTTACAAGTCCACTGGGCTTTTCCCTAAAATAATGCCATATTCAATTTCCTGTTTTTGAAACCGATTCCAGTGAAACATATGTGATTATGTCTATTTGAGAAAAATACAAATGCTAAGTTCTGGGAAATTTATGTGAAATCAAATTTTATAGTTTATGTAGAATCATTGTAAGATGCGTTAGAGACATCTGATATTTAAAGTATCTTTTTGGAACTGAAACATTTTGTAGATGAGTTTGCTATAGCTTATGTGTTTTAAATGTTTAAGTTGTCCTTGTCATCTATACCAAGATGCAACTGGCTGAAGAGTATTTATTATGCATGGAAAGCACTCTGTAAACCTTGTGCGATGATAAATAAGTGAAAGGTCTAATTATTTAACATTAATAGAAAAAGGATTATTCCTCAGTAAAATTGGTTGATTTCAAGGAAAAAAAAAAATTCCTGTTAGTTGAACTAGTAGAAGTTAGTAATAACTATTGTGACTCTTGTTTTTGTTTATTAAGGAAACTAGCATTGTTAATATATACTGATTACTATTTAATTATTCACAGTTGTTTAATTATATATTTGTGGATTTCTTTTCTAAATGTCTTGGGCATATGAATATATTATAGTACAACACCTGTAATTTTTAAGTAGATTAAATATTTTCTGTAAGATTGCTTTAAATGGTACTTATAAATTCACAGTACAGAAGTAGCTTAATATGGAATTAACGCTTGTCAGATAATGAAACATCCAAACTTGTGAATTTTTAAGATATAATCATTTTAAGCACCTCTGAAATTGGTGCTGTAATTGTAGAAGATATTGAATAAAATATCTGCCAAGTCATCTCATGCTCAAATATATTTTCAAGTATTTTAGTAATTGTTTTGGCAATTAATGACCACAGTGAATAAAATGTTACAGAGAATCTTCACATATTTTTTAAATTAATAAAATAAATAATTTTCCAAAATGGAATGACAAGTTACAATGGAAGAATGAGAGATTTATTGCTGGGCATAGTGGCTTATACCTGTAATACCAGCATTTTGGGAGGCTGAGGTGGGTGGATTGCTTGAGCCCAGGAATTTAAGACCAGCCTGGGAAACATGATGAAGCCTCAGCTCTACAAAAAATACTAATATTAGTCAGGTGTGGTGGCATGAACCTGTAGTCCCAGCTACTGGAGACGCTGAGGTAGACGGATAACCTGAGCCTGGAAGGTGGAACCTGCAGTGAGCTACTTTTCTTACATTAGATGCATTTTCATCTTATTCTTGTTGAAAAGTAAATTTCAGTTGTGTTTTTGATTATTCTCTTTATGATTAATATTCATTTAAAAACATCAGTATTATTTGAAATATACAACTGCTTTTCTTATACATTCTAATAAGGGGTATTACTGTCCTATACAATTTATGGAAATTTATAAAACATTTATTAAAGTTTCTCAGAATTGATGATGAGGCAAGTATTTAAAAATGCTAAAAGGGAAACAATATTATGTTTCATACTTTTTGGTCTTAGCCTATAATTATATAAAATCAAAAATTAAAAATTAAAAATTTTGCAGAGATGAAGTTTCATCATGTTTCCCAGGCTGGCAATTACATTGCCAAAAACAAACAAGGTGATTGCAAATACCTTTTATATGTTTTAAAATGAATAATCAAGAGCAAGTATAATTATGCTAGGATTCTTTGCTGAATATAGTCATTGAGTTTCTGTTACCTCAATATGTTACTAAATTTTGTAATAAAAACAAATCACTAGAAGGACTTAACACATTGAGGTGATCATTTGACACTTTTTTCTTACATTCTGATCAACCTTTATAAAGTAAATATTCACTCAATTCACTCTCTGTTCTGTTTTTTTTTTTTTTTTTTTTTTTTTTTTTTTTTTTTTGAGGCGGAGTTTCGCTCTTGTTACCCAGGCTGGAGTGCAATGGCGCGATCTCGGCTCACCGCAACCTCCGCCTCCTGGGTTCAGGCAATTCTCCTGCCTCAGCCTCCTGAGTAGCTGGGATTACAGGCACGCGCCACCATGCCCAGCTAATTTTTTGTGTTTTTAGTAGAGACGGGGTTTCACCATGTTGACCAGGATGGTCTCGATCTCTCAACCTCTTGATCCACCCGCCTCGGCCTCCCAAAGTGCTGGGATTACAGGCTTGAGCCACCGCGCCCGGCCTGTTCTGTTTTTTAAATTGGAGCCTTCTTGAAGAATGCGCCCACATTGACAAAATAAGAACATGCATTTTGCCTAATGAGAAATGAATATTGTCACTTGATGATGTAAAATTTCTTAAAAAGGAAGAGAGAGGGAACACTAAATGTTTAAAGAGAAATCCACCTACCCATCTATGTACCTGTATTTTAATAAAGTATGTAAAATAATCTAAAACAGAGAGGACTATACATACAAATGTTTATCTTTTTGTTTCTTTTGATCTTTTGAATATTGGTCATTGGAGGTAATCAGGATAACAGAAAAGTTATCACTTTAAAATGAAGGTTATTCATAAAAAAGATTATTCATAAGAAGTCTAAGGACTTCGTTTTTCTTTTTCTTTTTTTTTCTTTTTTTTTAAGAGATGAAGTCTTGCTCTGGCTAATGTAGTTTGTATCGCTTTCTTATGTCCTCCTTCCTGATGTATTTTACAAGAGCACTTGAAAAATGAGCTGCTTAGAGTAGGAAAATCACATAAATTATAAAATAATTCTAGCATAGACTTGAGAAAATGGTTTCTTTATGATTCATTTTCATCATATTATTATGTTAAAACTTTATTTAGGATTCTTTGTTTTTGCTTAATGTGACTCAATCCCTTTTATTGCCTTCTAGATTTACTTGTTTTGTGTTTAGAATTGTTTTGTTTTTTATACTATTCATTCTTCACTTTTGTTTCTTTTCAACAAAATATCAAAACATTTGCAAATGATAGGTCATTCTTTAAATAAATATAAATCTGCATGCCACCAAAATATATACATCATCCTACGTGATTTACTTTTATGGTTTTAGAAAGAAATATTGCTTTCTTTTCTTGTAAAAAAAATTATCAATGGTAAAAATAGATCAACA